TGCTCGTTATATAATAACGCTAAAGAAAATCCGAAGGTGGGCCAATATTCTAGCGAAATGGTGAAATAAATTTGGTCCATTAGACGTGCAGAATTGACCATATTCTTTTTTTTAAACTTTTTTTTTTTCAAAACAGTTTTTGAATTCATCACATGCTGAAGTGGTATCTTGTCATTTGTCGGATGAGCTTGTTAGTGGATTTGCGTCCAACTCAGATCTTCGTCACTTGTCACGAGTTTCTGTTTTACTATACATATCTTTTTTTAAAATGCTAATCTAACTTATTCCTCTGAACAATTCACGACTGCGATTGCTTTTGTTGAGGACATGTTAAGGGCATTATAGTTGTTTTGCATATTTCATGGTACAATTTCATACAGTTCTCGATTTACACAATTTTTGCTTAAATTAAATGATTATTTATGAAAGATTTGAAAACTTTCCCCAGAATTATATATATATATATGTCTCGAACATAATGTGCAAAGACCAGACTTAGTGATTTCAATATGCGCATAATACTAGTTTTTTCAAATGTTTTTCTATCAGTTTTGCTGTTCCTTCTGCTGCATACACTGTAAGACATGGTAATACATTTGTTTCCAAATATTCGAAATATGTATAACTGGTAAACATGCATATAACTTCAGTTGCCATTAGCCAGCTCTACGTCGTGAAGCTTCTTTTAACCTAAGCGATTGAAATGCACAACTTATTCACAGTCAAAAAAAGATGTTCTAATTTTGCATCGAATTTGTTGTTTAAATACCCACCACTCCTATGTTCAATTTCGATTTTTGTCGCAGGCAGGGAAGCTCTATCAATTTTCTGATCATATATTGTTGTTTACTATGAACTTCATAATCCGTAACTGATTTATTATTTTTGATTTTTTGCTTCCAAATTTCCATTTGATCTCAAGGCTATAATTATTGTCCTTATCTTTAGATTTTTCCGATTCAATTTTTCAGTTGATCCCCTTTTAACTTCATCTTTATCCCTTTACAAACGACGATGATAATGGACAAAGTATGCAATGACAATGAAATAACTGATGTATCTCAGAAAATATATTTCACTGACATTCATCTTTTTTCCTTTGTTAGTTTTCCTCCAACCCCCTATTGTCGATGACAGCATATTTGTTATCATAGTGATATTTCACCTCCATACTGCCTGAAATCAAGAGATTATTTATCAGTACTAAACCATGTAATTATCGGATATTAATTTTTTTTTTATAAATGGTAGGTCAACATTTTTTTTAATTCTAAATATTACTTCCGTTTTATAAATAATAGGTTAAACAACAATTTTTTTTTTTTTTTTGCGATATTGTAATCAATACATCTTTTTGTAATTTTATATAAATTCTGGTTGAATTGAATGATAAATGAAGTAGCTAAGATGTGATAAAGCATCGTTTGCTATTTCATGTAGTTGCCTATATCAATGATTGTTTTCTTTTTTGTTTTAGACATAGTACGAATTTCTTAGTTTAGCTCATAGAACTATTCCATTGTTTTATATTTCTCTCCATTTTTCCATCATTTTAGTGCTACATTTGCTAATTTATGTTAATTTTGAGTTTGGCATATTCAAAAATTTCAGTTATAGAGTAATCCAAATTCCGTGTATAATTTCTGTATGAAAAGATTTGCTGACAAATTTCTCATATTTTTTTTTTATGAAATTTTAAATTGAAGCGGTACAGACTTGAAAGAAAATATTGATCATTCTTGTGTCGTTCCAAATTGTTCATGTTTTGTCGATAGCTCAACTTTTCAAGCATATTCAGAAACACACTCAGGTAAGCATTTGTGTAACTGGTTTTTCTTTCCAGAATTGAATTGATCGGTCCATTGAATTGAGTGTTGCTTTTAATCAGGTATTATTTCCATCTGTTAACTGACTTCTTTTTTTCCTTTGATGAGTACTAGTGTTGGAAAGTGATTTCATACCAGTAAAGAATACATAACCGGTGAAAAAAAAAAAAAAAAAAACTGCTTTCCTCTCGTGAAAATGTGTATTTCTGTTTTTAGTTCTGCTCTATACTTGATGTAATTTATAGGAATTTAGTTTTTTGTTATATTTGATGATATTATTCTGAAATTTGTTAGTCACATTGCATTCGGAGCTTGTTTGAATTCAATTTATAAGCATGTCAGCATTTCAATCTTATGTTTTATTTATTGTTACTACTTAATGTTTATAAATTATTGCAACATAAAACTGCAACGATAAGATTTTTTTTTACTTTGTATCAAATAGAAAAGGGGTTTTAAGAATTCTAAAGTTTGTCCTGTATATACTAATATCCTGTATATCCTATTTATCATTTGGTTGAATCGTGATAACAATCCTGAGAATATTAGTCCATTAGTTTTAGTTTTGTTTACTATGTTCTGTTGTGGCAAGAGTTGTTTTAAAAAGGAAAAGCCACAGGTGAAAAATCGGATTTAAATTGTGGAAAGTTCGAGAGCGAGAGAACAATATGCAACCAAAATTTCATTTGTTGAAAACCGCTCAGTCAATAGGAGATGGTGTATTATTTTACTAAAACAAGTGTTGATATATAGCTCAAAAAAAAAAAAACCAAGTTAAAAGACCGGGGTATTAAGCTTTATACTGGAATTATTAAATTAAGCTCAATAAATTCGACAGTCAAGCTATGTTTGGCTTAAGCTGATACTTATTGAGCTTATTTGACATTCAGTGGAATGGAAGTCTCGTTTGAATAGAGTAACTTCGTTCCATTATTGCCAGAAGCTTAAACTTAAATACCTAAGCAATGTCGCTTCAGATTGAAATTTTATACCTAAAAAATTTAGCAACGTCAAAAATTTGAGAATTCTTTAAAAGATTTCAATGATTTTAATGATTAGTGTGCTATCCTTCAAACAACACATTATTTTAGATTAAGAAATGTCAATTCTAAATTTCTTGGCATACTTTTTTTACTTTTTAATGGATAGCAGAAAGTGAAAAGATAAAATTTTCAAATATCAGTCAAATTATTTGCCTTCTAATGACATTAATAAATATGTTGCCATTTATAATATCAGACTAAAATTTTACATTATCGGTTCAATTTGATTTCGTGTTAGCAAAAAAAAAAAAAAAAAAGCTATGTTTTGTATTCGTCCGCCAAATGATAAGGAGTTCAAAAATTAAACTCAAATAGTATTACTACCACCACTAAGCTTGTTTACTTATTCAGATTATACTTAGTATTTGGTATTTTATATTAGGTATTATAGATAGTCAGAAAATGTTGGAGGACAAAGTAATTGATATTAAATCGATCAATGCAATTCTTAAATTATCATCAGTGACAAAATTGGATTTGCAACTTTTCTAATTTTATGCAAATTTTTGTTTTTTAATTTTTTTTTTTTTTTTTTGAAAAAAATTTGATTTATATTCACATAGATGAATCACTGATATGTAAACAAGATGACAATACAAGTTCCTTATAGACGATGCTGTCGACGAAATAATATTTTAATTGTGATTGTGTTCGATTTTATATTGTTGTTTATTTATTTTGGCAACAAATATGCGTACGTTTCGTAATGAAATTTTAAAAGCAAACTTAATTTTTAAATTGATTGAAAATTTCCTTTTTTTAAATATGCTAAATAAATGAGAATAAAATGCTAAAAAATATTTGCTAACATATATAGTATTACTATTTGCAGAGAATACACAATCATTGTAAAAATAAGAGTAATATAATAAGTTCAAAAAACAATAAATTTCAATTTATTAATAAAACTGTAACATATATGGTGATCTTTAATCTTTAATAATTAGAGCTAAAGTTCACTTTCAAAAATTAACAAAATATATTACTATGATACTAATTAACAATATAAATGCTAATTAAAGAACGAAATTGCTTTATTCCTCTTCTTTTTTTTTTTTTTTTATTGAATTTAGTTTTATAAAAAAGAAAAAACTTTCAAAATAAGTAATAAATTTGCACTATGGAAAAAAGTAAATTAGATGGAATTCATGAAATAAAAGATATTCATTAAATTTTCAAATTTTTGTTAAACTTGCAAATTTAGAAAAACTAATGAAATTGATTTTAAAAAATTACAAAAACTCTCCTAGAAATAGAGACTTTACATAATTTAAAGTTTTTTTTTTTTTTCAATGGAATCTTTGAGTAAATGATTTGTGGGAATATTTTAGTAAAATAAAAAGTGATTACATGGTGTATACGGAAAGAGAAATTTTGAAAAAGGAAATGAATAACGAAACTATGAAAATGTTTCAAAATGAATCGAAAGCTCAAACAATGCTAGTATTTTGGTAAATTTAAAAATGAAAAAGAAAAAAAAAAGTGGCACATTTTTTAAATTGTCACAAAGATGGAAAAGGACAAAAATATGTTTTAAAGAATGAATAAAAAAATTTCCAAAATTAAGAAAACTCTATGATTTCCAAGATTTTTTGAAATCTTTCACTATGAATTTTTTGCAGATTTTGTAGTATTATTGATAATATAAAGAAATATTTTCCAATGAATTTTTACAGGACTTCAACATCAGTACTGAGACAGAAATTTTTAAAGCTTTTATTGTCATCTGTCATCCATCAAACAACACTATCAAACTTTATAAGATATCGATTTAAAAGACCTTTCAAAATTGATCAATTTAAACAAAATGATTACATGAATGCTTCCAATTTCTGTCCTACTTTTGATGAAATTACAGATTTCTGTTAGTAAATTATTTTTGATGAATTTTTCGCTTTAGCAATTTAATTGCAAAAATTGAAAGAATGAAATGGTGCAAATGTGTTTGCTTCATTCCATTTTAATCAAAAATTTTTATCAAAAAAATTTTTTTATGATAAATAAGTTTATTATATGATAAAATATTACTATCTTCTATTATTGCAAACTTCTGATACGTTGTAAATAATGAAATTAACAATAGAGAAATTTGACACTAATCATAAGCACTCTTTTAGCTGGGCCATTATCAATGGGTCCATTATTGATAAATAATTTGAAAGAGCAAGAAGTAGCCCAAAGACATTCATATATTAAATCAGGTGGTCATTGGAAGCCAAGAAACTGTCTAGCAAGACATAAGGTTAAATACTTTTGCTTTTCATTTAATTATTCCATAAACATAATTATTAAATTTTAGAAATGATTTAAAAATCGCTTATTTAATTGATCCTACAAAATATCATGAATATACTAAATGTTACCTGACACTTCTTATGACGTGTTTCACGTGATAAAAAGTGTCCTAATATGTGATTGAATGTATTTACATTTTAGATATTAATTTATAAAATTATGATATCAATTTGTAATGTTTTACAGATAGCAATAATAATTCCATTTCGTGATCGACAATCACACCTAACACGATTGCTTGACTTTTTATTTCCAATTCTGAAACATCAGAATCTTGATTTTCGATTCATCATTACTGAACAGGTTAATTACTCAAAGTTTTGTCTACCTTTAGATTATAAATGTGCTCATTCATTTGTCACAATTTATTCTATTAAATTATATTATCTAAATTACATTTGCTTCTTCATACATTTTCTTATGACAAGAAAACAGAAAATCAAGTTAAAATCAACGAAAATAAAATCTTAAAAAAAAAAATTTAATATTGTAAAAAGTTAACTCTAAGAATTCTACAAATAAATTTCACTTATCTAAGCAAACCTACTACTTATCTCGTTTAGGTTCATTCATCATTTATTTGCATACTTTTGTATAAGCCTACAATAACTCTCGCATATAGTTCCTTTCAAATATTATTATTTACTTACCTTTTTTTTTTTTAGTACGGGAAAGAATTGTTCAATAAAGGCAAATTAATGAATGCAGCATTTTCCTTTGCGGAAAAACTAAGAGTAAATTGTGTAATATTTCATGATGTTGACATGTTTCCAGCAGATGATCGTATCAATTATGGTTGTCCGGAAACACCGCGACATATCGGAGCTTATGTAAATACTTTAGGTTATAGGTTAGCTCTTTTAGTAAACTCTCCTCTATCTGATGTAAATTTAAAATTATGCATTAAACATTTATTTACATACTTTTGCCATTTCAAATTATATCTGTGAAATATGACAGTGCCAAGTTTCTTTAAGTTTGGGAAAAGAACTTTGTTACACTACAAAGATTCTAACAAAAGATTTTAAGATCTTATATTTGGGATGCTTAAAAATTACTTTTAAGAATATTTGAATGTAACTTTTGATATTCAAATCCGCTTCCAGAGTTTAAATAAGTTTAGAGTTTGTCAAGGTTCATCTTCACTCTCAAAAGCTAGTTTTCAGGAATGAAACATATTTATGTTTGTATATTAATTCTAATTTAAAAATCATTTAGATTAAAATATAATTTATATGAGCATCATTTGTTTTTTATATATTGACATATAAAAATAAACATATTATTATCTTTTTCATTATTCGAAGTAATTATTATTAAATATCAAAGAAAATAATGATAATACTAATAAGTGAGTTTAACAATTTTAGGTTAATGTATGCTGAAATAGTTGGAGGTGTACTTGCAATTCGTATGAATCATTTTCATGCTGTTAACGGATTTTCAAATGAATTTTGGGGTTGGGGAGGTGAAGATGATGATATGGGTTAGGAATATTACAATTTCGTTCATTCTAATTCTTGTTTATTTTGAAAAAAAAAAAAAAAAAAGACAATGTTTGATGTTAATGAAATATAACTCTGTTTGACTTACATAATGATTCATATGAAAATATATAAGTCTTTATATTGTAATTTTGAATAATTTTTTATTAATTATAAATTATTCAAAATCAACTCCATCTAAGATTTGATTTGTTAGTATGGAAATTTGCAACGAATTAAGAAGTAAACGTTCAAGATTTTTCAGGAATACGTATCTTAACGTTAAATATGACAATTGAACGACCGGATGCTCTTATTGGACGTTATGTAATGTTACGGCACATCAAGAGAAACGATTCTAATAATCAGCTAATGTTAGCATATTTGTTTAAGTAGAAAAGCATCCATTAAAATTTAACATTCACAAGAAAATTGACAGTCATTGTATTGTAAACATTAAAAAGAAAAGAATTATTTGTATAAATACCTCTCTCTCTCTCTCTCTCTCTCTCTCTCTTTACATATTTACTATTTAATAGTTATTGAATTATTCAAATAGAACTAATTGAATTCATTTTTAGTAAACGTATGCTAAAAGCTTCTCACATTCGTATGCAATGGGATGGTGTGAAGAAGCTAACGTGGACAATTCTTCAGGTATGCATTTATATCCGTAATTAATTACATTTAATATAGTCTAACAAAGTTATTTAGTGTGAATTCTGTAAGTTTCAAATCATTCTATTATATTTCATTCACATCTATTTGTGATTATAAAAAGTAGCCAAAAGTTATGTATTATATGGGCCAGAAAAATGTAAGCCAAAGAAAGACTTAAATATAAAGCTCTGTTGTTTTTCCTAGCAAATTTTGTGCAATTTTTGTTTGACAACTTTTGAAATATTAAAATGTCAAATTCCAGGTTGTTGAACGCCCTCTGTATTATCATTTGTATGTTGATGTAGGTAGGCCACCACCTGGATGGCATTGAAAATCTCAGGAAATTTAAAATGATCTCTTTTTATTTAATACTTTCTGTTCTTCATTTCAAGCTGTCATAAAGTGGATAGCAATGAATGAAGTAAGCTGAAAAAAAAAAAACATTTTTTAATTGTCATTTTAATTTTTTTTTCAAATAAGATTGAATCAATCCTTGTCAAAATTAAATATGTTTTGTACAAAAACAAAAAAGGCAACAAATTCAGTAATATGATAAAATTCATTAGAAATAAATGACAATCCTCATAAGGATCTCATCATTTTCAATGAATATGCATTTAATTTTTACAAGAAAAATCAATTTTGCATTAATTTGCACCTCATTTGTCTTTTAAATTTATTTTTCATTCTAAATCAAAGATGATGAGATTGATAAGATTATATTTAACTATTCACTGAAGCAAAATCGATCGTATATTTGGTATTTTTGGACGCATATATATTAATAGATGATGCTTTTTTTTTTTCCGTTTAATGATAGCAACGGAGAAATGAAAATTGGCAGTTCTTTTGTCGAATTTGCAACTTTCATTATAAATAATGAAATGAGAAAAGATAGAAAGACGAATGTGTAAATTAATCATATCAAATAGAAAATGATAAAGATAATAAAGAAAATAAGGAAAATAATCGGAAAGAGTAAGCGTGAAACAAGATCGATGCCATGATTGTGCTTGAAATTAGCGCATTTCGTATCATACGCAACTTCCACCGTCTAAAAATCATTTATCAAAATAATTAATCTGACCCTATTATCACTAATTCTTTGTTATGAATTTTTCATAAACTTTTAAATTGTTTCAATCAGTTAAGAAGAATCGAATTATTACTCTCATTTTCTATGCAATTAGAAGAAAAAATGGAATAAAGTCTTTATAAGATTCAAAAAAATTATAACTAAATTAATGGACAAAAGTTAATCGACAAGATGAAACAACGGAATAGGTAGAAATAAACAAAAAATACCTGAGCAGGTAAATTAAGTGAAAATACTTACTTCTCTAGTAACAGTAAGAGGAGATTCATCATCTTTCATGATCTTTCCATTTCTGTACCGAATTGTCCTTCTTATTCCGCAACAAATAACGATGAAATATTCCACCAAAGATGCGAATGTCAAAATTAGACAAAAAAGAAGCCATATTTGTAAGCTGCTTACACCATATACTGATAGATTAGGCTGTGGATAGAATACCTATAAAATAGCCTAGTTGATTTACTAAAGGCTTTATGAACATTCGTCATTTTCAATCGATCATTATCATAGTTATCAACTTATCAATCTGTTCTGAACAACACACAATGCTAATTTTGATACATATGTACATATCTACACAATTATAATTACAGCTAAGATAACATTCTTTGCAATGATTATGATAGCACTTAAAAATCAATTAAAATTAACCGTAATAGAAGCAAAAATGAAGAACGGCACCGCAGCACTGATTGTTCGTGGAACTGACCATGAACCATGGACCCAAAAATGAAGCCATGATGCTAATATCTGTAAGCATAATTTAATTTTAAAAAATATACAATTATAATTAAAGATCAGATTTGTTAGTTTAATATTTATACAAGTATGCTCAGTTCATATTTTGCATAAAAATCTTCCATTCCATTGCATTTTTCAATGTTTTTTTTTTTTTCACTTTCAACAGATTAAGTCATCTAACATTAAAATATGCTTTTAATTTTTATAAAACGCTAATGCTATATTCTTTTCTTTGGATAAGCTTTGGATATTATATAACATTATTTTGTCTATCGAATGAAGTATCCCTAACATTTGCTTAGATTTGTTCATAACAAAATTCCTTCCCACAATTACTTCTACATATTCTCGCAAATGAATATAATTTTAAAAAGGGAAAAAATTAGAAAATGATAAATTCATGATGACTTTTGTTTAAAAAATTTTCCTACAAATATGAAATTTTATTAAATAATTATTGTTCATGTTTAAAAAAGCACTTTTTCATGTTCAATTTTTACAAAAGCTAGAAAAAAAATCAAAAAATTTAAAATAACATTAGAATACGTAACATTCGAAGAAAAGATGAATTAAGATCATGAAAATATTCAAGAATTATAAAAAAGATTCAAAATTTTAAACTGAAATAGAATTCCAGGACAAAATGATAGTAAGCAAAATAAAATATAAGACATAACAATTTGACAAAGTTAAACTCTCTCGATTAAAGTATAAAAATTTTTGCATTGCATAGATAATTACCTATCACCATTATTACAGAAATTGAAATTTCTAAATGTTACTGTTATTACTTTTATTAATTGAATTTGTAAAGCTTACCAAAAGTATTGATGGGATGAAAATACGCCAAAATGCTTCGGATGAGGCACCAGTGAATGTTATGAGAACATCAATACAAGAATATATACCTAAAAAAGTTAAATCATTTGATCGATAATCGACACATTTTAGCTTTCATTGTTGCTTTATCATTTGAAACGAAAGAACAAATACTTTAAATTAGCTGCTAAATTGATAAGTTCAATGCAACAATTTTACTTTCATTAAGTGATTAGATGAGGCAAAAATGAAATCATATTCTGTAGAAATTAGAACAAAAAACCTCAAAATTAGAATTCTTGAAAATCACACATTCCATAAAAATTTGTAAAATGAGTTATTTCAGGAAATTTTAAAACAAAATTCAGTAGAATTACAAGAAAGAAAAAAATGAACAAATAAGCTAAATTCATGAAAACTTAAAAGAAACTAACCAACTGTATAATTTCCAGCGCAATCTTCAGCTACCGCTTCTTTAAATTCATAGAAGCCACTTAGCAATTCTTCTGATACTTCAACCGGTATCACTGTAGGCGGTGAATTTGCCCATAAATAGACAATGTCTTCAATTGGATATTTATCTGTAAGTAGAAAAGGTTAACATTCAGATGCATCAATTATTGCAGCAATCTTCAATAATTTTAAATAAACCAGCAGTTGACCTTTCAACTTTCTACGCATCAAGCATAGCTATCAGTAAAAATTCATCCCTGTGATATATTCTTGATAATTTATTCTATGATATATCCGCAAAATCAAGTTTAACTTTTTGTCATTCTCGTACTTAATCATATATGAAATAATTATGAATACACAAAATGATTCATTTGTGAAGAAAAGTAAGTAAGAAAAGTACCAAATTTACAGTTTACAGATGTACCAAAAGTACCATCTAGCAAACTTACCCAAACTGATTCTATTAGCTTAGTAAACAGATTAGATTTAAATATATTAGTGAATGTTTATGTAATTATTACTTATTTTAAAGAAAAAAATCATTAAATCATTTATTCAAGTATCTTTTTTATCTTTTTCATTTATTTTTATTTACTTTCATTTTTTTTTTCAATTTTCATTCTCTTTTATTTTATTTCATTTTTTCATTATTATACAGAAGATGAACTTACAACTTGATAATCTTAGTTTGATCATTCGAGTGTTTTCAAATGGATACTTGGAGCTGTATTCCACTGGTACTGTCACTGTACGCCTTCAATTAATTCATTAAAAAATTGCAGTAATAACAGGTAATTTGAGTATATTAAGAATTTAAGAAATATTCTTAAGTATAAATGTATTATGCAAAGTAAACAAACGTTTATAATGTAATAATAACGTTCCAAATTGAAATGACTTCAAATGTTTGAAAAATTATTTTCTTTTTGAGATACTGTCATACGTAATTATTATTTATTATGCATTCCATAACACTAAACAATTATTTTTTGAAACAATACTGAGATGAAAAATATCGAAAAAAAAGAAAGTGCAAACAGTTTTGTAATCATTTGTTTGATAAGTAAGAAGGAAAATAAAATTATCTATTTAGTTTTTTTTCTTTTCTTGAAAAATTGAAAAAAATTAAAAAAAGAAAAACTTCAAAAGAACAACTATTGTAATATCAAAGGTAATATCTTAATTAAAACAATTAATATTTTTTTAAATTAAGAAAAATAGCCTCAAAATGAACGTTAATGTCTTTCTCTAAAAATATTACTTCAATTATGACTTAAAAACTTTACAAAAGATACTGTCACAAGTAATTGTTATTTATTATGTATTCCATAACACTAAACAATTATTTCAATTTATTAAATGTTAAATTAACATTTTGTTGTATGATAAGGGAAAAATAGAAAAATATGCTTAGCTGAGATACTAATTTTAACTATCTTTCAGCTTTGTAATAAAAAAAAAAAAAACTGAGATCTGACTTGACAAATGCAAAAAATTAGCAATTTCCATGTTGACTATTTCTGAATACGAATTTTTAGCATCCTCAAATGAGATCTCAAATAAAAAACTTATTGTCATCTTATAATTTATTTTACTGATACATTTGAGACATTTAAATGTTAATTTCAACATTTTATGCTTACAATGCTTTTTCTTGGCTTTACCATCAAAATATTAAAGCATCAAAAATTTTAGCTAAAAGTAAATAATAACATTTCGGAAGATCGAACATATCCTGTTGGTTCGACAACCGTTCGATGACGTTTTTCATGATTTACATCATGAGCATTCGAGAAATACGTATCAGGTATCCAAATTCTTCTATTATGTGGCACGACCACCTCTTCAATTCCATCCCGATCGTCTACTTGATATACAAGTCGACCATCTTCCCATTGTTGTCGTAGGTATAAATCAACAACCTAAAAAATATTCAAAATTAAATTATTTAAAAAGCGGAAAAATTTCATTAGAACTTAAAGATTATTTGATTCAAAAATTTAGTTAATAAACACTAATTGAAATGTTAAAAGATGAAAAATATAAACCGCTTGGTGATCGTGCCATAAGATGCGGTTGATAAAGATCGATGCGATCACAACGATTGCGGAATGATCGGCCGAGTCTGTAAAGCATACAATGAATGGAATAAAATAAGATTTAAGTGGACAACCCCTGACTGGTGGTCGTGTCTGTGGATCGTATTCCGAGAGGATCCT